ATTTTCGGCCGGGCCAGGCCGGTCCATAGTCGGTCCCATAACCGGTCCCGGTCCCGGTCGGTCCCGGTCCCACGAAACTACCAAAAACCTCAACCGGTCCCGGTTTTCGGTCCCATAACCGGTCCTTACCGGTCCCGGTCCCGGGCCGGTCCTTTGTCGGTCCCGGTCCCAGTCCTTCGGTGGTCTCGGGCCGGGCCGGGCCCATTTGGCCATCTCTAACCGGAAGTATGATGGATCGAGACACCTGCCGGAGGAGGGCAGGGGCGCACGGGGGAGAGAAGTTATGGAAGATGGAGAATTGTTGTATTTAATATTTAGTCCTTGAAGTTTTAGAGATTTTGCATTTTACTACCCGAATTTTGGACGACATTTTTTCGAGCCTCGAGGGATTCAAGGAAGTGTGTTTCATGGTTTTATGTTATTAGTTGATTGTGTTGTGTTGGTAGCGGAGTCGAGAGTGTGGACGTGAAGTTAAGGGTGGAGTAGTGGATGACGGCTTTTGAAACAAAGATTTGTGTACTGGTCGTTTTAAGATCAAGTATTCATGGGGTATGGTGCAACTTCAACATGGAACGTATCGACACGAAGATAGAAGTTAATAGGAATCAAATTATACATTGAAAACGGCATATTTATTTGTATCTAGTCTACATGACAAACTGGTGGTTGTGACAAGGGTGTTGTCTTATATTTTTCAAGATAACCATTAGACTGATCATGTTGTACAGGTCCAGAGTGTTGTGTGATGAATAAGACACGTGAGAAGAAGTTATAAGTTGTAGAAACGAGGATGTTCAGATGTGTCTGGACCATGTTGGATAGGGTACTGAACAAGGCATTTCAGTGCGGAGTTGGGAGTTGCTCCCATCATGGATATATTGATAGGTGTAAACAGTGATTTGGGTGTGTTTGCAGGAGATGCATTGTGGTACCGATGAGCATGGCAGAAAGTATGATGGTCAAGGGGGTTGTAAGGGCAAATTGAGGATTACACGTGATGAGGAAAAACATCACATCAAAATCAAACGATGCAACGTATGCTAAAAAGCAGTTTATTAAGTAAGACGAGTACAATAGAATTAATTGAACAACTGCTATAGTAATTGAGAAGATACTTCAAAATTACAAAAATACGAACCAAAATCTTTAAAAAGGAACCAAAACAAAATTTTGTTACATTTTGATGTATTCGCTCATTCTAAAAAAACGAGGGGGCGTTTGGTTCATGTATGGTTTTTGAATGGATGAAAAAATGTCAAATGAAATGAAATTTCGAAGGAATTAGAGATTTGAATTAAATGTTATTAGGTTTGACAAAGTGTTTGGTTGTGGGTAAATTAAATGTAATCTATCAAATGAATTGGTATATATTTGTTTGGTTTACAGATGATTTGAAAGGAAGTAGTGTAAAATGACCAAAATACCCTTTTTTGGATGTGTTTATTTTTAATCTTAACCTACAGATATAATAGATCAAGAAAAATGATTTAGTGGCAAGGATGGTGATTTGCCTCGCGCATGTGGAGAACCCGACTCATCCGACCTGAACGGGGATTCCCTGCTAGCCGGGCTCGGGGATCCTCGATAGACTTAAACTGGGAATGAGGTCGGGGGATGTTACTCAAACAGGAGTTGGGGCCGGGATCCCCGGTATACTCAAACTAACGAATATTCTTTATGGGGTTTGACTAGGGATTGACCGGAGTTGGGATGTTAATCCCCATATCTACCGAGGACCGGGGCTGGGGGCTATTACTAAAAACCAGGGCCGTGACCAGGGATTAGAAAACCCACCCCATCCCCTCCCCGTTGCCATGCCGATTTAGTGGGGGTAGTTTTGTCATCTTAAGATTGCAATGGAATTCAATTCCTTCCTCGATATGATTGAATGATGAAATTCAATTCCATTTCATTGGTAAACGAAAACGTCATAATGAAATTTGGTCAACGAAATTGATCATTCTCATTACATCGAAATCCTACAAGCCAAACACACCATGAATATTAAGACTTAAAATAACAATGACGTAACAACTCAAATAATAAAAGAGAGTCAAACATACGTTTGGGTATGAAATGGAAATACAGAAAAATAACAGGGGTAATCATGTCAATTGGCAAAAAATAAAGAACACGGAAGAGCAGGGATTGAAAAACCATTTCAATTTCAGTAAATCTTTTAACAATAATCCCTTGCAAATTCATATACTCTCGAGAGCTAGGGTTCGTCGACAAGGAACCTCGATTCCAGGTAATGTTCGATACTTAGATTCGATTTGTTTCGTATTATTGTATGTTATATTATCACGATTCGAATTGGTTGAGTTATGATGATGAATCGTTAGCTAAATCACGCAATCGAACAAATGCCGCCTGCTACGATGCGTTTAAGTCATAAATAAATCCCAAATGTAATATATGATGATTATATTTTGTGTTTGGATTGAAGATGAACAAGTAATAGAACAATAATCAAAGAGAAATCAGACCTTGTTAATGGCGGGGATTCGAGTTCGACGATGAGTCTAAAGTTCACTGTTTGGTAGGAATTATGCTTCGATTAAACTATAGGTCATTCGTAGTTGCATCATTTCATCGGAAACATACTTCTAACTAGAATTAAATAAAAAAGATATATAATGGAAACTTCAAACATGAACACATTCAATTTTAGTTTGATTTGGTAGCCATAAGTAATTACTTGATGATGGAGTATTCTAAGCATTACTGTATTAAAACCTATGAAAAACGATAAGAAATCTAAGCCCAATTGGTCGTTTATGGCAGAGGGACGGTGTGCAATTATCCTTTATTCACGGTTCATATGTCATGTTTTTGTATGTTATAACTAGGTCAGGGAGCCATTAATGATGTAGGAGAAATTGTTATAACCAAGGCACCGCCTCACCAATTGAGGCTTAAGCCTCATCCAGGGACCATGAGACACCGCCTCATGAGCGGTTTTGGACCACCTCGCATAGAGGCGTACGCCTCAAGCGATTTTGAAAACCATGTTTGGGTTAATATGATATGTTGTTTCAAACGAGTAAGATTGTGTGTAGTTTATATTTGCATTGTGATATAAAGTAATTTGATTTTTTTTGTAATTGTTTAAATCATAACACTTACCAAACAGTTATATTTCAATCAACACTAAATAATACCAGGGTTAAAATGGTAATTTTATGTCGTTCATCGGTCCATTCAGAACACTTACCAAACAGTCATTTTTCATTTGGCACTAAATTATGCATGGCATCTTAATCATTCTGACAACCTACTCATTCTAAATCCTTCAGCAAAACAATCCCTTGGTTGTGTCCGCATCTACTGGTTCTTGCCACTTGCATCTCTGAAGTTCTGTACTACTTGGAGTTTTGCACAAGGATGGCCGCAATTTACAGTCTTTATATCATTAACAAATCAGGGGGTCTCATCTTCTACAAGGTAAAAACCTGAATCCCAAATGCACTTCTTTTAAAAAAATATCATTTTCCACTTCAAGGTTTGTCTAATGAACAAACAATGGGAATAGGATTATGGGTTAGCAGGAAGAATGGATACAAACGATAGTTTGAGATTGGCAAGTTTGTGGCATTCGATGCACGCCATCTCTCAGCAATTGTCCCCTATTTCTGGTTGCTCCGGTATTGAACTCCTTGAAGCTGACACATTTGATCTCCATTGCTTTCAATCTCTTACCGGTATGTTGTTAATTCATATTTATTTGGTGAATTTATGCTATTTGATGATGGAAGAGGATATGAAACCATGTTATGTTGTTATTTACTCCCTGTAGAATATTATTGAGCTAAAAGTTTGACTACAAGCGTAGAAAAAAGTTACCTTTCGTCCTACAAATTTATATGAAGTTCGAACCTTATTGGCGCTTTGCTCTCCTCTTATTCTTTGATGAATACTTTCTATCTAGGTTAAAATACTATACAAATACCGTGTGATGTTTAACTAACCCTCAAGAGTATTAGTTCTAATATCAGGAAACTTGTGCCTTTTGTTCTTTCAAAATGGAGAGAATTCAGTGTTCCATTGGGTTTTGGTATGTAGCTGAAACGTTTGTATTAATTCCCGTGTCACACTAGGGTGTTGATCACACCAATAATCACCCTTTTACATGGATAATCATGGTACAAATAAGTTACATTCCACGTGAAATAGTTACACCATTTTTAAGTACTTACTCAGTTGCTCACTTTTAATGGGTAAAATGGTTTGTTCAAAAAAATATATCCCCTCCCTCATCTCAAATTAGCATATATGTATATATATATATATATAGAGAGAGAGAGAGAGAGAGAGGGAGGGAGGTTCAAACGAGAACAATAACCAAATAAAAGAACAGGAAAATGGCCAAATCATAGGTTAGTTTACACTAACAATCAACGCTACGGTGTGTGGGCTACGTGGCCCGTGACGTCAGGTCGGGCCAAAGTCGCGTGAATCACGTGTGATTTTACACGTGATTTTAGTGTAAAAGCACATGTGATTCAACCGTTTTCTTATTCTCTTATTTGGTTATTGTTTTCATATGAACCTGACTCTCTCTCTCTCTCTCCCTATATATATATATATATATATATATATATATATATATAAATTAGCACTAGTGTTGCATCCATTGTTCTTTCACCGCTCATTCTTCTTCCTGGCTTCTTCACTATCCTTCTTTCCTCGCTTTCTTTCCCATATTACACCATAGTAATGCTAAGCATAAGGTATGGGTTGTTGTGATAGGTTGTAATCATGACATAGAAAAATACTTAAGAGGATTATAAATGCTAAGATCTTGCCAGATGCCATTTTTTGGGAAGAAATATGGAGAGAGATGAAATAATGATTTGATGGGGAAATACTTTATTTTGGGTGCATAGATAAGATGCCATGGTTGTAGATGAACTCACCCACAGATGGAAGAGGCATTTAGGAATGAATTTGTGCTTGCTTGTTTACGCTTCGTAGGAAGATTTCGAGTAGGAAAATGTTTTGCAAATACACTTGTTTCCTCAACATAAATAAGGACATGGATCTTGAGATGTTTCATTTGTTTTGGACCTTTGATCATTGGGATTCATTCATCTTCATTTCATTGACATTCATTGTTTTCTCCGATCCATTCATTCCGTATTCTTCTTAACCCCCCTCCACTTTCAATATGGAATTAGTTGAGACAAAGAAAGTGAACAAAAATGAGGAAGAGGAACAAAATGTGGAAGAAGGTGACAGTGAGAGACAAAAAATATGAAGAACATGTGCACTGAGGAGAGAAGAGAGAACTTTGTGTATACTTAACTATAACTTTATCCCACCCTACATCAGCCGGTGTGTGTGTACACTGCCGCCGGCCACTTTCGTTCCTCTACCATATCCATTGATGGGATTTTCTAAAACTAATTTGGAAGTCCAAGGTAGGAGGGAAAACTAATTTAGAATATTCTAACTACTTAAATGCTCGTTTTATTTAATTTCAGCTTCTATACCCTAGTAACCTATCTCAATAATTTACGGCATCCTGACATTGACCGATGTGTAAATCGATCGTGCTATTCATCATTGTTTTGATATTTAACAAGGTTTTATATCAATATATATTTCCTTAGCCCTTAAACTAGGCTGTTAAACGAGGACGGGATCTTTTGTTGGGGGGGAGAGATTTGTAATTTGATGCATGGCATTTGTTTTAGACTTCATAGTTATTATTGTCATTAGGTTTGGTAAGACTAATTAAATTCATTGCTTTATGAGAATTTTATGTTTTTTTTATTTATACTCCACCTGCTGCCTTCACTAGTCTGACACTGTTTGTTAGCAGCTTAATGGGACTCACAACTTATTCGGTCAGCTATACATGACTGGTTTAATGCTGTAGAAAGTGGCTTATTCAACAAGTATTTAGGATGGAACTTATGCAGAAAGCCAAATTTTCCCAAACCTGCCTCTCCAAATTAAAAAACATGCTCCTTCCATCTATGAAAAAAAACTCTTCCAAACAAAAACCTTCCTGGTCTAAAGACAGATTAATCCACAAAGCAGCTTTATTCATATAGTACTTAATGAAAAACCAACCAAACAGCCCCTGAACCTTCTTCAATGATAACCCAATAGACCGAGATATGTAAACCTAATAATTTTTCTTTATAAACCCCAGATAGCTCTTTTAGGAAAATGCATCTTCTTAACATGTGGGACCCTTTACGTATATCCTGTTTTTACCGTGTGCAAACCTTATTTTTACTGTTTAGTGTTCCTCCGGCTTTAGTAGTTTGTTTTATGGCACTATACTTGTTGCTTATTTGTAACTTTGCAGCTACTTAACCACACTTGTTCCCAGTTATTATCTTTTGTTTTGCAAGCCAAGTGTCTTCACTCGTAATCCCTTGGGGTAGATGTAAGGTTTATGTGGGATATACAGGGTTCGTTTTGTTAATCATATCATATTTTGGCAGGGACGAAGTTTTTTGTGGTATCTGAACCTGGAACACAGCACATGGAGCATCTGTTGAAACATATTTATGAACTATACACAGATTATGTTTTGAAGAATCCATTTTATGAGATGGAAATGCCAATTCGGTGTGAGCTCTTTGATATCTACTTGTCGCAGGCAATACAGAAGGACCGCGTTGCGTATCTTGGCCGATGAATCAATGCAAACAAACCCCATTAAAACCTTTTTATTTTCAGTTTGAACCGAAGAATGTCCGGTAAGTGGTGTTATTACTTTCCAAGTGAATTAGACAGACATCTTAGCAACCAACACAAGTAGCAGACCTTTTCGGATATAAATGATTCCTGTTCTAAGCAAAATCCTTTTCTTAACCCAGGGTACGGGTATGGGTACGGGTACAGGTACAGGTACAGGTTACCGTGGGATTTAGTGGGTGTGTTTGTAAACATGTATATGGGGTCTTCATAGACAGTCTCTTCACTCCTCTGGGTAGAGCTAAAGGTAAGGCTTATGTACATCTTACCCTCTGTAGACCCTACTTCGTGATGATTGGATTATCAAAAATGTTGGATGATTGCCCGCATTAAGTCATCATTTTCGCTTGGCATGGTCATTTGATCGTATATCTAGTTCTTGCCGCTTGATCTGGTTTGCATTTATCAGACTCGAAAATTAGTCTTCCTTTTCTGATTGATCGACCAACATGGTAGAACTGTTGAAACCCGTTATGCTATTGTGGCACGTTTTGCATTGTGAATGTGGATTCTCGTGAAGTCTTATGTAATTCAAGCGTTATGATTGTGGTTTAGTATCACTTGCACGTTTTTGGAAGTCAAGGTGACGTGGCTAGTGATTGATGGAAAAAATTAAGCTCGGATTTATCACCGTTGATCATTGAAACAGAAAATCAAAAACGACGATGGACGACAAGAAAATAATTTAGAGACAAAGGTGGCACTTGTTCTATAATTCATTCTAGTTTTCAAGAAAATTCTTGGACATCTTCTTCATGTCAAATTGAAGTTCAAATTTAGCTTCATCAATCTCAAATTCAAAATGTACCTCTTTGTTGGGAATGGAATGGAAGAAGCATATGTTGCTTACAGTTACCGCACCTCAACTAATCCTATGGGTCCTTCAATCCTAAATCCTAAACTTTAAACCCTTGAAGTTATAACAAACTTCATATATATATATATATATATATATATATATTATATTATAAAGCATTTGATAAAAACTCTTAAAAACCATCTTTTATGCGTAAAGTACTGTTTATTAATGCATATTACTTAAAACTCAAGATTGCAAATAGTTGTGTGTAAGTACAACTTATTAAAGCTTCATATCTGAATTCGTGTAACTAACTGCAGATAAACATAATCAAATATAGGATAAACATCTTATTTTAAATGTAAAAAATCTAAAATATAATTAGGATAATCATTGAATTCTAACAAAACACTTAATTATTATTTTTATAAAATGTTAYATTATTAAATCAAAAATAAATTATTTCGTTATTAAACTTAAATTAAATTATAATAAAATAAATTAATTAAAGAAATTACATAAAAAATAAGAACTTTTGAATAGTTGATTTGATATTAACATTGATATATATATTTTTAAAATTTTTATGATATCTTCAAATTTATATTTTATTCAAAAATAAAATCATTATTGCTTTTTTAAAAACACATAAAATCATATTATAACATCGACAGAGACAAATAATAAAATAAAACATTAAAATAAAGTTGTTTCTCGTTGCATTGTACAGTTATGATCTTCTACATCCTAGGTCTTCCCGTTCCATCATCTGGCTTATGTAGTTTCCACCGCCTGTCCAAAGTTGAGCTCTGGGATTTGACGGCGGACTTAAAAAGCCACCTACAGACGCCTACCAGCTAGGACTACTGGGGTATCTAATCCCATTCGCTGAAATTAATTGAAGCCGTGGGGCCCTATCCATTTATTAATTCGACCCAACTTGTGTCCCAAATTTCAAGAATTGGGTCGTAACAAAGGATATAATAAGTCTTCTAGTGACAAAAAATGTAGTTCTCCCCCTTTAAGAACACTCACTTCATGGGGATATTTGTTAACATTTAGATGGATCCAATCCAATCCGTAGGATGAACTGAACTGATCAATCATCTATTAGATTGGATCGGTTTGCAAAATAAAACATCCAATGGATGTTAAAATTAGTTCAATTCCCCTTACATCCAATGAATTTCAATCGATGAACACGCCCACACCTTTGAAAGATTCTTCTGTTTCACGAACTAATATCATCTTACACAGTTATTAGTCGTAACTCATAACCCATAACCCCATCTTTTTTTTGGTAATTGTGAATACACGTTTGCACACACCTCAATTAATCCCAATGGGTTCTAGAGATAACAGGAAGAAAAATACCAAAGACCCTGAGCAAACTAACTAACGATCTATGCCGGGAGCCATATGCCTTAGACTTTATTTGTCAGTTGAGTTGGCCCTCAAGGTTTACACTGTCTCGTTGGTCACTTGCAACGAGACCTATTACAAGTTACAAATAAGTCGAGTGCATTGCAAAAGTATCTTCAACGGAAATAATTTCACGAGGAAAAAGTTTCTAAGGAAATAGATCCTGAAGATCAAGAATATCAGCAAGAACACCGGCTGCCGTAGTGTCGTTGCCTGCTCCAGCGCCTTGTATCACCAACGGTTGTTCTTTGTAACATCGACTGTATATCTCCACCTGCACTCAAGTTTTCACTCATCAATTTTCAGTTGAGAAATGAGAATTATGATGTTGACTATAAGTCGGCAAACTTAGGCTCTGTTCATTTATACGAAACTAAACGAACCCAGTATTACCCACACAGATATAATCAAATATAAACAAACCAAACATGCTCCATATATCCATCTGAAGGTCCTCTACTTCAAAGAGTAGAGCAGTTGTTTCTAAAAGCAGACACAATATATGAGAAGTAAAAAAGATAAACCCTAATCCCTAAAACCTAAACCCCACCATATGGTCCGTGTTCTATTGGATCGAGTAACTAAGAACCGCTATCACATTTTCTATGTTTCTAAGGCCGCATAAACCAACAAAATGAAGAAAAAAAATGTGCTTTGCCACAATTGCAACTCCGTTTGTCCTAAAAAAGACGAAAACTTTCCAAAAAAAGAAACATATTGCGATTTCCGTAGCATATATTGCAAGTTTCATGAGACGGAGGGAGTAACAAAAAACCGATTTAAGAGCGTACCACATTGTCGCTTCCTCTCAATCTGCCCAAAGCCGATTCTTTAGGGAGTTCTTGAATTCCAACGTTGCACCTATCAGAAGTTCAAACGAAAGTTAGGTGTTGTTTGTCTGTTTCATTAAGCTCTGTTAGGCTCATTCTTTTTCCCCCATTGATTGTTAACCAACAAAATGAACGGAAAGATACCTCGAGTTCTCAATGACACAAACATAGCGCAGAACGTTCCCATTTGAAGAAGCTTTCTTGATTCTCTCTTTAATATCGTCATCCAGCGATGGCAGACCATTTACTAAGAAGTCTTCCAGAGGCATTGCATTCGGGCCCATTTTATCAGGGTACAAACTTTCAATCTTTGCATAGATACGAATGTCACCAATGAAGAACGTTAATACATCAAAACCCGAATATGTTTGCATAATAACCTACCTTGATGCTACTCATGTCCATACGGTGACCAAGAAGTCGTGCAAGGATCAGACCCTGTTCAAGAAAAAAGCGCACATTTTAACTCGATAAAGAGTGGGAGGAACAGATATATGTTTGGCTCGTACATTTTTTAAACGCTTTTTATGGCCATTATACCTTATGTTCTGATCGGGTTTTTCCTTTGTCATCCTACTTTCAAGCCCGAAAAACGGATATATTTTAACACGTTTGCCAGTGACGGATGTGTTGTTACATTAAATAAGCTTTTTAAAATAAGCAGTGATCGATCGAATTTCATGAACTTGTGTTCATCAATCGGTTTTTTTAAACTTAAACCTTATTCTTATCATTGCTTTTCGAGGAATGGTATCAGTGGAACAATAACTATGGTCATTTAGGGGTCGTTTACCAAACACTTATCCGGTAAGTGCTTACCGGTAAACTTTAACACTATTATTTACTTACCGGGTAAGATTTTAGTCCATCAAAACGACATTGTATGCAACAATTTACCCGGTAAGCGCTTACCATGGTAAGAGTCGTCATCCTCACTTACCGGGTAAGATTCTTGGTCCTTATCATATTCTCCGGTGAGGTAATGTGACTTGGTAAGCGCTTACCCGGATAAGTGTTTGGTAAACGGCCCCTTAGAGAAGTTTATCAAATATTATATCAAGATTTTAATTCTCATGCATGCACATAAATAAAAATGATTATGTTTTGATGATCAAAACGAGCAGCTTATGGTTCGTCTAATGCTCACTTAATCGATCAAGTGTCAAAAGGTCACTCGACTGTCTAGCAAATAAGGACCCTTGAATTTTCTGAAACTTACGAATAAGGACCAATTTAAGATGAACACGACACCGACAAGGCAGCCAGAGGTCAGCCAATCCCAGAGAGGAAGAACAGGTCAAAGAAACAAGAAGGCTGTCAACATTCGTAGAGAAGGTTGCAGTGCGGTGAGGCCTTCTGATGGAAAACTGGTCAAAACTAGTGGTGCTGTGGTGATGGAAGGCGGTGTATGGTGGTGATGAGCGATGGTGCTTGGTGATGATGATAGATATGGAAGATGAAGAGCATGAAACACATGAACTGATTATAGCATCACATTCCTTTCTTCTTTTTTGATTAACCTGGATATCCAACCTGACTAATCCCAGGGGGACCACCTGCTTTGCAGATAGCCCGGAGTCACCGCATTTGAACCTCCATGGCCACAAGGGGATTTTTGTTCCTCCTTGGATTTGAACCTGGGACCTCCTGGCACTTTTGACCTTTGGAGCCAAGCTCAAACCAATCAGGCACCACCCTTGCGGTTTATCACATTCCTTTTGAGGAGTACATAAATCGTATGTTTATGCGGTGCAGTGATGAACTAATCACAAAAGTTGGTTTCAGAGGGAGAACAGCAGATTAACAAAGTTACCAGAACTTATACAGAGATAGAGATGAGATACAAACCTTTCTTGCAACATCCATCCCGCTGAGATCATCACGAGGATCTGAACAAGATAAGTTTAAGATAAGTGAAATTTACGAATATGATTGACTTAATTCATGTCAAAGAGACCAAGATTGGTCCTGATATGAACATGTCACAAGCAGAAGTGAAGAACATAGATGAATATTTGATAATAGCTGCTAGCATTAGTTATAATAGTGAGTTTCATTTTTTTAGTCCAGTCTCAAGTCATTGGACCTATATATATATAAACTTGGGATCATGTGAGACCAAGGGTTTTTCGTGACACCCGTAAGACCAATTCTCAACATATATATATATATATATATATATATATAGACTTGGGATCATGTGAGACCAAGGGTTTTTCGTGGGACCCGTAAGACCAATTCTCAACCCTTGGATTTAGATCTATAATCTGAACATTCATAATCACAAAATTGTCACGAGACTTCTCAATAGTCACAAAATTGTCACCGTGCAACTTTAGACCATTAGATCATTAGCTTATAAAGTTGAACATAAATTAGTCTTACGGGTCTCACGAAAAACCCTTGGTCTCACGTGAACCCAACCCTATATATATTGGTGAAGGATCATGTATCTTTTCAACATTCCTTTTTCACTAATTCTTCTTTGCCTCTGGATGTGAGTTCTTTATTTGCACAACATTAACAAAATTTGTCTTGTCAAAACCTTTACGATATTTCGCTAATCAAGTAGTAAGAAAGCATGTTTTAGCGGCCCAGTACGCATATAATTATGAAAAGTAACCTCAGTTGGGAATGGTATGCCCAATAAATAAATCTGACCTGGTTCAGTATAGCCAAGGCCTTTAGCAGCTTTAACAACTTCACTGAATGGTTTTCCATCTTCTACCTCGCTCATTACATATCCCAAAGTACCTGTTTTTGGATACAAAAAGGGATCAAAGTATCAAACATTCATAGCTACTTCTGAATGCAGATAAGCCACCCAACAAGACTAAGAGGCCGTTTACCAAATAATTACCCGGTAAGTGCTTACCAGTAAAATTTAGCACTATTATTTATTAATCAGGTAAGATTTTAGTCCACCAAAACGACATTGCATACAACACTTTATCCGGTAATCGCTTACCGTAGTAAGAGTCGTCACTTTCACTTACCGGGTAAGACTTTTGGTTCTTGTCTCGCTCTTATCGGGTAAGATTCTTGGTCCTTACCATATTCATCCGGTTAGATAATCTGACTTGGTAAACGCTTACCCGAGTAAGCGTTTGGTAAACGGCCCCTAATGCTTACAAATGTAAGTTATCAATTTTCATTACCACTCAAGCTCCCAATTATTCGATAGATGGTGTCTCCAGATGAAAGAATACGATTTAATGATGCTATAACAGGGAGGCCGGCACCGACCTGAAGTACCAATACGAAAAGGGAAAAGACAGAAAAACGGAGGAGATGTACATCAATAGTCAGCCCATTGACACCTTGAACATTCTTGTTTTAGAAAAAGGAGAAGAAAGTCGGTTGCTTTCTATCAAATATGGGAGACTATGCAAGTGACGATCCCCAGATTCGGCACACAAGCATGCAACCAACCGATCGCAACAAATTATCTATACATACAGACGAGAATGATCGGCTGTGAAATACGAAAATAGCACTACTTACAGTTGATTCATGCCTAATGCGGCGTGGTTGTATGAACAGCTTATCAAATTCCTCCTGCAAAAGACCAAAGTTGAGTGGTTTATTTTTAATTGCAAATTCGTAAATGAGCAGATATTTCTCATTTTATTTCCCAACCCAGTTTACAATTTCATATTGGGAGATGAAAGATGATACCGCCAGCATTACCCCCATCACAACAAAAAATTGAAAAGAAATCCTCAAAGCGAGAGCTTAATCTTAACGGACAAATTACCATTGAACAAGTAAGAGGCTTCTTATTGGCTAGCACCGCACAGCACCCCAAGCTTATTGCCTGGTTAATCACTTCGATGGTCTCTGAACTCGCAGAGCAATCAATAAGTGCAAAAGCTGCACGGTAATTCAAACAAACAACGCTATAAAGAAGACCTTTCTCAAGAAGAAGCATATATATGTGTGTGTGTGTGTGCACACTTTATGTGCCGTGGGTCCATACATGATCACATGCTTACAAGTTCCTACATACATAATAACATTAGACAATGGTTAACTCACAGAATGACATATTTACCTAGACGAGTAGCAATGTCGGTGAGTTTTCTCATGGATTCAGGATATGGAAAAGCTTCGTAGTTACCTACAGAAGTATTAGAAAAAAAGCATGTTCAGTGACTATTTAGTATGAATAACTTGAGTTCTCCTCTCATCTTTCAACCCCAGAAATAACAGAAAATTTGCAACAGGGGGAGAAAAAGATGAAAGAATACAAACTCATACGTAACTCCTGCTGCTGCTACAAAGATATCGATGGAATTACCAGGGTCGATACACGTTTGCAAGGGCAAGCCATCTGACTTGATCCGGCAAATGTCCGTCAAAAAGGTATCATTGAGTTCCATAGATAACGCATCTCGTGCAACAAGACATGATTTACTATCGCATACACCCACAACTCGCAAACGAACTCCCTGTCAAACACATGATTTACTCAGACATTCATTATATGAATTCATACGCCAGTGCCAAAATTTTATGAGATATCCATTTTACAAGCTCATAAAGAACCAATATTTACTCAGACATTCATTATATGATGCATTGAAGGTGGCATCAACTAGAAGATGAATATCAATGACCTTTGAGGGACTCTCTTCACTGTCCCATATCAATTCATATTTTTCTAGCATATTTTTTTTATTAACCTTTATATCCAACCCGCTATGCGAGCAAACTAATCCCAGCGCGACAACCTGCTTTGTAGATAGCCCGGGGTCACCGCATTTGAACCTCCGTGGCCACAAGGGCATTTTTATTCCACCTTGGATTTGAACCTGGACCTCCTCGTACTTTTGACCTTTAGAGCCAAGCTCAAACCAATCAGGCACCACCCTTGTGGTCAGCTTGATTGAACTTTATAACCAACACTCTAAATAGGAAACTGTACAATTTGCAGCAGAGATCATATTATGCAAGTCAAAAGAATCATCTGTTTGACCATACATAAGAATCGGTGTGCACAATATGTCCAATTGCGTGGAAGAACACATGTGGTCTTAATTTAGTACCATTTTCGACATCAAACGAACCAATATGAACCGGAATCAACTACATTCCTCTAATCAAAATCGCAATCAATTTTGAAATACATCACAGTTAATCGTTCAAAACGTATACTAATCGAACGAAAACATGATCAATGCAGCTGAAGTTGAAGAGATGAAATTAGTGTTCTACCTTGTTTGCGTGAAGAGTTCGACAAGAGACGATGTGCTGGAGTAGTTGCCTTCCCACCCCTCCGCAACCCATAAGAATCACCGGAATATTCTTCATTTTCTTCTCCGTTTGACGGTGGCGCTGCTTCGGACTGTGTTTTTGCAGGGTCGAACTCTGGTTTTTTACCTCCTGTCTAATGCAAGGGCAAAATACAAGGGCAAAATACAATCGCAATAAAATTGAAGGGTTTTTGTTTACCAAATATAGTTTCGTTAGTCTCTATCAGAATCAGAAGGTTGAATCTTGTTTCGTAAAAAAAAGTTTGTTTTTAAATGGTTCTAAATTTTTTTGAATGATTTTGTATCTTGGATCTTCCTTAATTATTAAGTCCCTTAATTATTAAGAGTCATAATTTTATTGTACACAATTACCAAACAATTGTTTTTTATTTTACACTATATCATGAGAGTCTCTTAATAATTTTGACCACTTAATTATTCTGCACAAAACCATCCAGCAATTGTCAAACGGCCTGGTTATATATTATAATCCAATTTTATATGGTTTTGAAGAAGTAATAGTATTTTTATTTTTGAATAAAATGTAAATATAAAAATATATCATAAAATTTTTAAAAAAATATTGATTTTGGTACCAAACTAATTATTTAAAATTTCTTTTTGTGTACTTTTTTAATTCGTTTTTTTTTTATTTTTGGCTTAATAATATAATTTTTATAAAGATAATAATTAAGTATTTTATTATAACTCAATATATGTTAATTATATTTTAGATTTTTTATATTTAAAATGAGATGTTTATCCTCTATTTGATTATGTTTATCTGCAATTAGTTACACAAATTCAAATATAAAACTTTAATAAGTTGTATTTATGCATAATTTACTTGTAATCTTGAATTTTAAATAATATGCATCAATAAACAGTACTTCATTCTTAAAAAATGTTTTTAAGAGTTTTTGTCAAATATTTTATAATATAGTATAGATAAATGGATAAACTTTTCGGAGGGTTTTTTTAATATATGAAATTAGTATGTTCTTTAATTCAAAATATACATTTGAAAAAACAAAAATCAGTTTTATGCAGCTTATTGAATAAGTCATTTTTTATATCATTTACTACTAAACAGTCATATATAGCTGACTGCATAAGTTTTAAGTCCCATTAAATTGCTAACAAACAAACCCTTAAATGTCTTAACCCTCTTGTAAATATTCTGTAATAAATAAGTATCCACGTTATCAAATGTTAATCTCGTTAAAATAAGTATGAGATAGAAAAAAAAATTGGAACTTTGTTAAATTGGTTGAAAATAAATATATTTAGGGGCTGTTTACCAACACTTACCCGGGTAAGTGCTTACCGGAAAAATTCAAAACTATCAATTACTTATCGGGTAAGATTTAAGTCCACCAAAACGGTATCGTATGCAACAACTAACCTGGTAAGTGCTAACCGTGGTAAGAGTCGTCAACGTCACTTACCGGGTAAGACTCTCAGTCCTTGCCTTCGCTCTTACTGGGTAAGATTCTTGGTCCTTGTCATATTGATTCGGTAAGGTAATGTGACTTGGTAAGTGCTTACCCGGATAAGTGTTTGATAAATGGCCCCTTAGTTACACTAAATGAGATCGACATAGGTGGTAGGGGCGGACCTAAAAGTTTCACCATTTGGCTATAAAGAGCAAATTGTATAAAAAAATAACGTATTTTAACTTGATTTCTATTTTTGGTGACATACTTACAAAACATCTATTTTGATACCTAAGATGTAAAATCTTAAACATTTAAGTACCCGGGTAATTGGTTGAAGACTAATTTTAGATTAAAAAAGATTCATGTCACTAACCACATCAACAAATAATATTGAGTTGAATACCACATCACTCATCACCTCACATGATAACCGCTTAATGCTTCAAATGGTTACCCGGATACTTAAATGTTTAAAACTTTACATCTTAGGTATCAAAATGAAAGTTTAGAAAGTACGTTACATAAATAAAAGTATGTTACTTTTTTATGCAATTTGCCCGACTATAAAAAAACAAACTTATGGAATTTCTTTATAAAATCTTATTTTGTTTGTTGGTTAGTTCCTTAACTTTTTGTATTGAGGTGCAAATTCAACTCTATCAAGAAAAACTTATGTTATTATTATAATTTCTAAGAAATATACATTTACACCCAATAAAATAATACAGTATCAACTTTCACGACCCCAATTTTGTTTACCATGACGGACGAAGGAAACGATGATTGGTACCAATGTATGCACCATAGTGGTCCGCCCTTGATTGGTGGTCCCTACAATTTCAACATTATTTGACCTAGCGGTATCGTAGTCTTTGGTTTCCAAATAGATCAGAGGTTCAAACCCCACCAAAGATGAAGAGGATGTATTAGTTTATTTGTTGCATTTGCCGTATATAAATATTATATACTTAAAAAAAACACACATATCATCCGGGTGGTTCGGTTTTTAGTTTTTACATCGGCGGTCCTTATGGTTTGTAAATCCTTACAGATTTGGTCCCTCTAACATACGGTCCTTAATAAAGGTTTGGTTATGAGAGTCTATGTCAATAAGACGAAAAAGGTGTCGAGATCAACTGAACTTCCGAAATGCATGCCAAAATGTACCTTCGATCATGTAAAATACATTTGACTGATTTACGCTTACACATGTAAACGAAAAGCGATGTATGACAGCATACGCATACGGATGACTTAACATTCACGGTGTGAACGACGGAATGTGATCTAAATCCCTGTAATTTGTTTGCCACATTACCCTCTCAACAAAGCCTCTATAAGGATCCTCCTCTCGTTTCGTTAACAGATAAGCCACACACTTCTCGACGTCACATTTTATTTGTACGTATAACTCTTGCAGATAATCTTCATCATCCAACATATTTTCCTTTCCTTTTGTCTGTATCGGTTTTCCGAAGAAAAAGTAGAGTCGACCTGGTATCTTGGGAAAGAGGAGAGGAAAATGAATGGTCTGCTCAGCGATATCCCCACTCATCGCCTCCCTATCATTGAAGAATTTATTATAACGTATAAAAAAGAACAGATATCAGTAAAACTAAACCAAACACATCATGCATATCCCCCTCGGAAGTAGAATCTGGGGATGAGATGTATGCAGACATATCTTACACCCAAATAGCGCACATATTAATGCAAACTGTAAAACAACAAGCCCTCCAATGCCATCATATTTGAAGTACATGTACGGGTGTGTAGAAAGTCATTCGATCCAATTAGAACCAAATGAAACCATCTAATTTGTATGTCTAATTGCTCTGTATGGGTGACTACTGATGGTTTACAAGAAAACCAAATGAAACCAATATATTTTACTTGAAAGTAGGGTCTGAGGTAGGATGTATGCAAACATGTTCTCTACACCAAAGGGTAGAACGGCTGTTTCTGTGAAGGGCTAATAGTTTACAAGCTCATCAAAAAATCATAAGGATCATCAAGTAAATTCACCTCAAGTTTTTTCTCCCTTGATTATATTCATTCCACATCTCATCGAGGAAAGGGATCCTCTTCATTTCGTTATAATCAACGATTAGCTGCCGACAAAATAGATTAACGACACCGACTAATGAGCATTGATATGAAATAAGTTATATTGATAACGAGCACCAACTTAGAGATGCACCGAAATGCCCGAATGTGATGTCTGGCCCGAAAAAGTCTAGGCCTAGTAAACCTAAGCCCAAGCCTGATCGGTGGCCAACTTTTTTCCGAGGCCCGGTTAAGGCCAACCTAAGAAAGTCAAATTGGGCCTTCTTTCTACGACAAAGCCCAATTTGGGCTCGAAAAAGCCCAGGCTTTTTCTGGCATGAAAATCGGGATTGATAGTCCCGATTCCATGCCCGACAAAGCACTGAGTGATTGTATGAGTGTGTTCTTACTTCCGACATGTCATCTTCCCCAATGGCTCCAAATGGTATAATGGTGGCCCCAAGCTTCACTGCCATTCTTACAAATTCTTGTTTATCAGGCCAAAACAACTTGCAGCCTTCACCCTGTTAACCACAAAAGAAAGTGATTCACACATTTAGAATACTCCATCCATCCCAAAAGTGTTGTTTGTTTGGTTTTCTATTAAGTCGTATGTATAAAGTTGTCTATGTGGATTAATCAGTCGGTATATAGATTGGGAAGGTCTTTGTTTGGGAGGGTTTTTTTAATTGATGGAAGGAGCGTGTTTTTTAATTAGTAGGGGCAGGTTTGGAAACAACTTAGGTTTTGCATAAAACTCCCCCCTAAAAGCTTACTGAATAAGCCAATTTCTATATCATTAAGCCATAGTTGACCGAATAAACTGTTAAGCTCGCTAAGCTGCTAATAAACAGACCCTACCTGTCTGCTTTCAAAATTCCAATCCTACCCTTAATTATAAAGTGGAGAAATTCATTACTTCCTCTATTATTAAGGGTAAAATCGTCATTTCATCAATTAAAAAAATTAATATAAATTACACATTTCTAAAACTACATGCCCTTTTCATTGGGAACATTTTCGAGATGGAGGGAATATTAATAATTTATCTGGCTATCGGAAGACAATGTTTTCAAGTGAAAATACGAGCAATAACAACATACCTTACGATGGAGAGCTTCCCGTGCACCACCAGGGTAAAGCAACACGTACGACTTTCTCGATAACAATCTGAAAAGATTTCTTCCAGTAACCGGAATTGCACCATACAGCTTCATTAAGTCGGTGTACGGAACCATAAAGTATTCTTCTTTAAACTTATAATCCGATATCTCCGAGTCGTATTCATGTTTAACTTTATAATGATATACTTCTGGGTGAAGTAAACCATGAAGCAAGATTTTTTTCTCTCTCAAAAACTCTAAAGTAAGAGAAAAAACATCAAATCCCCATAGCATATGGTTACCAACTGCTAATACAGCACCTTCATTAGGAACCCCTGCAAGACCTCTAACTATCTTCCCATCCCCCATGGTTGAAAACATTGCTGCACCCATATAAAGGCGGTATAACCTGCATTTCATCGTATATCTGAATAACAGTAACACCGGATTTCCATCCTAATATATTCTAATCTAATGTACTTTAACCCACTAATTATTCAGTGTTCTAAATGGCGTGAAGCAAGGTCAAGCCTCAAGGGTAAATTTGTCATTTAGTTAAGAGTAAATTACGTTTTTCATCCTTGTGGTTTGTTAATTGCATCTTTTGTCCCTGTGGTTATGAAATTTCGGTTTTCACCCTTATGGTTTGCAATTTATTTGCTATTTTCATCCTTGAGGCTAACTTTTGTATTTATGTATGAGGGATGAAAACAACAACGAATTGTAAACCACAAGGATGAAAAAAGCAATGAATTGTAAACCACAAGGACGAAGACCTATTTTCAAAAGTACATGGACGGAAATAGCAATTTTCGACAAACAACAGGGATGAAAAATGTTAGTTTACTCTTTACTTGAGTTTAAAGTGTAATAATTGCACATTTCTAAAACTAAGGGTGCTCAAAAACCCGATCAAATGCCTTCAACCCAATCAACCCAACCCATGAGCACCCCTATCTAAAACCATGTGCCTTTATCATTGTGGACATTTATTTTAGAATGGAGGGATTATCAGATGTTAGGAAGGTCCTCTCGGTCTCTAAGGCTCAGAGTTGGAAAAAAGTAGTCTTCATTTGATTACAAAATTAGCAAAAGAAAATTCAGGTCAATTTTATTAAATTACCAAGTCTCCATAGGCAAGCTTTTGAACTCTGTCAAACTAGGAGGCATAAAATCCTTGAAGAAATCATACTTCGAAGAATGGCGGTACATGTGAGCAACTTTAATAGCAGATAACACGTTAACATTACTCTCCTGCACCAACAAAGAGGGACCGAGATTATTGCTTTATTCTAGCTACTTTATAGTACCTTTTAAACAAAGAGAGATCTGTAAGGATATGTGTAACCTCCATTAAATTACTTTCCAAAAAAGTCTTTGAGTAGAGAATGGAGGTTCCAACATGTATAGAAGAGAATCAGTCCAAGTCTAGCTGATGTGAGACTCTAACACACCCCTTCCAACGGCTTGACGAGTATAGATTACCCAGAGTGTTGAGTTCCTAGGATGGTAGACCTTGGCTCTGATACCATGTGAGGATATGTGGAACCCCCAAATTACTTTCCAGAAGAGCCCTTGAGGAGAGAATGAAGGTTCCAACATATATAGGGGAGAATCGGTCCAAGTCTACCTGATGTGGGACTCTAACACGACCCCTCCAGGCTAGACAAGTATCGATTACCCCTGAGTGTCAAGTCCCTAGAGTGGTAGACTTTGGCTCTGATACCATGGAAGAATATGTGGAACCCCCATGTTACTGTCCAAAAGAGCCGTTAAGGATAGAATGGAGGTTCCAACATATATATAAAGGAGAATCAGTCCAAGTCTAGCCGATGTGGGACTTTAACAAGATCAATTAACATTTTTATATTTCAACCAAATAAGCTATAATTCGTTATGGATCTTTGCATCAAATTTGCTCACTTTGGGAAGAAAGAGGAGGTGTTTGTGAAAATATGTGAAACCCACATATTACCCTTCAAAAGGGCTTTTGAGGAGAGAAATGAGGTTTCAACGTATATTGAGAAGAAATGGTTCTATTCTAGCCGATGTGGGACTCTGTTTGCTCTATTTGCTTGTCATTTTAATTCAAAGTAAAGAAGTGGGTAGTCATCATTCCCAAGAAAAAATGCAAAGATCTTAATACCAATAGGATTGCATGCCCATTTTCCTCAAACGAGCGCACATCGCAGCGCTTCAATAATCTTGAAAGCCTCCAGGCCTCATTTTTACTCGGTACGAGGTGATCTTTACCACTGAAATGCAAATATCTTAGTATTATTATATTCCATACAAACATATCAATTCAGAAATACCTAAAGCACAAACTTTCAAGACAGGGTCGTAGACACTGTAAATTGTCAACTAATAAGCCACATGAATAGAGGAAAGTTCAAATGAGAACTATAAATCTTTTGAGAAGTTGTGAACCAACTATTTCATGTATTCATCATGAATACATGCATTTTTTGAGAACTTGGGAACCAACTATTTCATGTATTGTTCACGATGAATAATCATGAATATCATGTTTTTTAGGAGAACTTGGGAACCAACTATTTCATGTAATCATGAATATTATTCATCATGATAATTGGTTCCCAAGTTCTCAAAATAAAGTATGAATAGTTCCCAGGCTCTCAAAATATTTACAGTCACCTGCCTACGTGATATATAAGCAACGAAAAACTATGATCTGCATTAACCAAAGAAGAAAGAAACCTAGCAAGCACTAGTACTTCAGCAGCAATAGCATGGAGACGAGAATTTGCATAAGCAGCAGCTGATTCAACTAGCTCCAACCTCCAAGTAAGAGTGTCTTTATTTAATATTCTGCCCAGCAACTATAAGGAGAAAGAACAAATAACATGATTTGAATCAACTCTAGAAAATGTTGATTTTAGCATTTAGTTTAACCATTTCTTTGAGGGGTTAATTTCGTAATCTTACATGTAAATCTCAAAAAATCCTAAGAAAGACACTCTTTCACATCATCATTACGAAGGGTTACGAATGAGATGATGAGTTTTGACGGATATGCAAAAAAATTAGTAGAATAAAGAAGATTTAGTTCTGACTTTTGTCGGTGTAATTTCGGTTTCACATTCAACTTTAAATGGATTTTTTCAATGATTCACATATCCTAAGGAAAACCTAGAAGCTAATAATAGACACAAATGTAGCTCAGTTGGCAAAGGGGTGGGGTCTGCTTCCTATTGGCATTTTTCCAGAATTCATGGCTAGAAAAGTCCTTGGTGGTCTCTATTATGGAACCAATGGCTTCCTCCTAAGATGGGTTTATTCTCTTCTTCTGGAGATTCCTCAGGAATGATCTTCCTATGGATGACAAACTCAGATACATGGGCTTTCAAATGCCTTATAAATTGAATTTCTGCATTAGAAGTCTACACGATTCTTTACTTCATTTGCTTTGTCAAGATATGTCCCGCGTTCGATCCAATCCCCCCTCTCCAACCTCAGTCGTGGAATGAGCCAAAGAAAAATGCCCCCTCACGTTGATGTCCTTGGAGGCGGGTTCCGTGTGGGCGCGGTTAGGATTGCCGCTAATCAACTTTTTACCCAAATAGACACAGATTAGATCTTTACATCACATCGCTATTAAAGACAAAAACTAAAACAATAATGGAGCTAAAGGCACAAGAGTTCAAGGTGGTTCTTACAGAAAGAAGCGCAAGATTGCCAAACGATTTCCAAGGAGATGATAAATGATTTGTGTTATTCATTTCAACCGTTTCCATCTTTAAAAGATCACCTGAAAAGAAAATATTAGAATAAGTAATTGCAGGAAAAGGTCCTGCCAGTACATGTGATTTATCAAAATTGAAAAATAGATCATCATAATCTTCAAAGAACAAAAGGAAAACATAATAGTTCATAGAGAAAACCTTTTGATGTCTTAGTGACCAATTGGAAATACGGTAGATTGTAGAGCAAACAAATATTTACAGGAAGGACCAAGTATTCAGATACATACCATTACAAATATGATTCAATGCATTCAGGGGCAGACCTATGTGTAAGGGATACCAATTTGTCACACCCTATAATCAATATAACATTTCTACTGAAATTTCGGCATGAGCGATTTGTAAAGTCGTAATTTGCCATATATTTGAACCTGGATAATGTATCGTATATAATAATTTCAAAAGAAACGGATATACAAAACAGCATATACCAACTAGTCTATATGCATACCACTAATTGCTACTACAATTACCACCAAAATACTATCTTCAAACTAAGGGGCTGTTTGGTTGATTTTCCATTAAGTACTGTATGGATAAAGTTGTTTGTGTGGATTAATTTGTCTTATAGATTGGGAAGGTTTTTTGTTTGGAAGGGTTCTTTCATAGATGGAAGGAGTGTGTTTTTTAATCGGGAGGGACAAGTTTGAAAAAAACTTGGCTTTCTGCATAAAGCTCCCGCCTAGAAGCTTATTGAATAAGCCCCTTTCTATATCATTACACCACTACCAAACAGTCATGTATAGTTGACAGAATATGCCCCTAGAAGCTCATTAAGCTGCTAACAAACAGGCCCTTAGGCATCATACAACAAATACCAAACGTGCATCATCCAACAATCTTACCTGCTAGCCTCCCGGAGAGTGTAAAAAGAGAATATAAAACAAATTTTGTAATGGAAATGCACACCCATTAAGTTATTTTGTAATGGTAGTGCAAACCCAGATTATAAAACCTGAGTACACACCAGAGGCATCAAACAAAGTTGATTCAAACAGTAACCCACCGAGAAGCAGCCTCGTGACATATGGAAGCATTCCATAATGTTCTTCAGGCAGAGCCCTCACAAGCGATGATAAAGGGTGCAACAATGACTTCTCATAAGAAGTTGCTGAAATAGATAGAAGAGAAGTTAAAGTATAAAATTGAACAAAAAAAGTATGTGTATGAAATTGAGTACCCAAAAAATAGAAGAAAGAAAGAAAAAAGGCTGACTTGGATTTGCTAGTATGAGTATTAAGTCGATTGTAGGATTACGAGCAGCGACTGCAAGTGCTAAGCTTCCTCCAAAAGAATCTCCAAGCAAATAGATTGGCTTATCCGGGGATGAAGCATTCTCAAACATCACAGTTTCTTCCACAATTTGGATCAAACCTTCATGCAAATCAATGAAATTACTCGACACCAACAATTTGCTAAAGAGATACACAAATTATAACTTCTAAGTGTCAACTTATCCCAAATACAACGGTGTGGTCATAAGCATTGATTCTCAAAGAAAATAAATGCTTATTCGGTGCACAAGTTTACAACTTTGCAGATCAAAAGAAGGGTCTGATAGCTAATAAAGATGGACTAATTCCATGAAGTTTTAGGCTATGTTTGGCAAATTAGCTTATAAGTTGGTTATTAGCTGATAACTAGTTATTGGTTGATAAGCTAACTATTTGAGATGATAATGTAAACTGACCTAAAAGAACATGTTCAAAAACTAATTGGAGAAATATAAGGGACATAAACCGAAAAAAAGCCACTGGAGCTTATTCTTATGGCTAACCAAAGGGAACTTTTTCAATAAGCTCAAAAAATAAGCTAGCTACACATATGTATATATGCAAGAGAAGATGAGAACCTTCAAGTGGTGTTCGATCCCAAACAGGAATATGGAAACATTGAACATGAAAAACCCTGTCATCGAAGTTGAAAAGAGATCATTTAAAGAACAATAATCAATTTCTGTAAGCAGTTTACTTCTACTCCCTTGAGAAAACCTATGCTAATTAGAGAACTCCTTTGACAAGCCATGTACAGAAATTTCAAATAAATGAAATAAGAAGGTTCTAAGGAGTGGACATAATATTTATGTGTGTGTATATATATATATACATGTATGTATAATGTACATAAGCACCTTTAAGTTTACCATTCTCAGAAAACTTGAGCCGAAGAATAGAGGGAGTTCAAAAGGTATTGAACAGAAGAACAAAGACTTCAGCACCACCTCTTATCAATTAGAAGTGAAATAAGACTTCAGACTTCAGCAACTCTTAGAAAACAAATGCCACCTTTATATGCGCACACACACACATACATATCTTCCCTTCATTCCAACTTAAAGAGCCTTCTGGCTTTTCATATTGTCCCCCTTCCGATTTTTTCTACTCTTTAAGCAACATTTTCATTCTAGTCATCAATTCTCGTCATTTGAGATACGTTTCAAACCTTGTTTTTCATCAGATTTCACACATTCGATAGCTCGTTTCCTAATATCTATCAAAATAAGATGTTTTGCTACAAAATGGATTTCCATTGTTACAAATTAGTTGTTTCCAGGCCTTAGACCTCTTAGGAGGTCAGGGGTTCAAACCTCACCAAATTTGATGAGGGACTATGAGTTTATTAGTTGCATTTGCGATATATATATATATATATATATATATATTATACTTAAAATGCTTATAGAATAGATCTAGATAATTGTAACTCACTTTCCAAGAGCTTTCTCGTGCAAGACAAGGCCGGCTCCGGTCCCATCGATTCCTAGACAAATTTTCACAAGAATTAGGACATAGTGTTAAGATCTTCTAGGAGCATTAAACAAAGAAATAGAAGCATAGTAAGTTAATTAGTGTCGCTCTACCCCTTGACGTAGAGGGGACATGATTGCGTACATCCCACCGTCTCAGACCCTGCTTTGAAGCCGGAGATATACTGGTCTACTTTGGTTTTTTTAGTTAACTAGGTACCACCATGCATTATAATCAAGTGAAAAGATAATGATGCATACATATTCTTCAATTTTTGTAATTTCATGTAGAAACCAAACACAACTTTTTAAGTATATTATATATACGGGCATGCTCATAAAAGAATGAGGTCAACTTAAGAATATAAAAAATCCCGCTTTAGTACATTACACACTACTAGTCGCCCTGCGTGGTTCAAATCACATGTGATTTACAACTGGTTTTCAACCACACAGGCGATTGGTCAATGCGAACTCTCTCGACTTGATGTAAATCACATGTGTGTGCTTTACCATACGTACAGGACTCTTCTTATTTTCTTAAGTTGACCTCATTCTCATTTGAACCACCATCTCTCTCTATCTATTTATCTATATATACATATATATGTTTGGGGGGGGGGGGGGGGACTACACACACTCCTTGGTGAGGTTTGGTGAGGTTTGAACCCTTGACCTCCAAGGAGGTTGAGATCTAATTGTAACTTGGGTACTGATGGGCCAATGACCCTAAACACTATTTACCAGGCAAATAAAGAAGAACGGGTGAATCATCTAGAGGCAAGCAGCATGCGACCGGGCAAAACCACCTAGGTGGCCCTCCATCACACTTGATCAAATCCATGGATATTTCAGTGTAATCCTTCACGGTTTGAGTCCCATAACCATCATCCCACAAAGGTTCCAACTCTTTAACAACATTTTTCTCACTCACTTTTCCCCCATCATTAACACAAGAAACTCCGTCAATCCTAACTGATTCTTGCGATACCATTGCCGAATCCCCACCACCTACACTCCTAACAAGAACGCGTGAATGCTGCCTATGGAACCCCTCATTTACAGCCAAAAGGGGTGATAATTGAACACTAGAAGTGCTCACAATTAATGCCATTATGGAACACTTCCACAAGCAAATTAACTGCTCCAAAACTCAAAATCAAAACCCTCCTCTTTGATTCAAAGAATTTTAAGTGCAAAAACTACCCCCCTCTCTCTCTCTCCTCTCTCTCTCTATATGTGTGTGTGTGAGTGTGTATATGAACTCACGAACAAGAAATCGAAAGAAAAGGGTGCAGGTTACGTATTCAATTGAACCCCGAAACATAATGAAATGTGTGTTTCATGTATCATTGGATATGAATGACATAGAGATACAACATCATATATGTAGGCGGTAAGGAAGTGCGATAAGAATCCAAAATTGGAAATCTGCTAATGGATCGCAAAACCCAAACACGAAATCGTATATAAACAGACAATAGAGTCAAAAATACAGAAAGAAAACTTGGATCATTTTATTTTCCTTGTACTTACCTGGATGATCATTTGGTGAATTTGAAAGAGAACTAGATGGAGACTTCCAGTGTCATTTGTAGGTGATCTCCATTGCAGACCATCCATGCTAAAAGCACGAATTAGTAGCAGTTTATCACTGGATCCAGTACTATCAAACATACATTTGGTGTCAAAATTAGTAGAACGACTTATTCATCTTATTGATATAAATTTTTGTCAAAGATATTATTATAAATGATAAAAAATAAATATTTACATGTTAAAAAATCAAATAAGTTAATAAGCAATCACAAACACTCTCATAAGTCAATAATATGAAATACTGTCTTTTTTTTGTCATTTTACATATATAAGCAAAATTTGTCAAACACAAAAAAAAAAAAAACTTATCAGCTTATTACTTTTTGGTACCGCTATAAGTTAATCAAAACACTTTTTTATAAAACTCCGGTTTAATACCACATAAGTTAATAAACACTTTTACAAAAAAAAAACATAAGTTGTTTTAAATAAGCAATCTCAAACACCCCTTAAAAAAACAATTTTTAATGAGCAAATTGTATAAAGAAGTAATGTACTTTAATGGTTCTTTTTGGTATGATGCATATGAATGTTTTCAAAACGATTGTTTCTTGATAACAATTATGCCAAAATTAAGGGGGTATTTGGGATTGCTTATAAAAACAACTTATTGACTTATTCCGGTGTGACACTGGTAATAAGCATTGGTTAGTGTTTGGATAAATAGCTTATATCGTTGCCAAACCGGTAATAAGAAGTTTCAACCTTTATTTTTTTAATTTGTGTAACTAACTATAAATAAACATAATCAAATATGGGATATACATCTCATTTTCAATATAAAAAATCTAAAATATAATTAGGATAATCAATAATTAATTATTATCTTTATAAAAAATTATATTATTAAACGATAAATAAATTATTTCGTTATTAAATCTAAATTAAATTATAAATAAAATATTGAATTAGAGGAATTACATAAAAAAACAAAACTTTAAATAGTAAATTTGATATAATAACAATATATTTTTTTTTCCAAATTTTTATGATATATTTAAATTTATATTTTGTTCAAAAATAAAAACATTATCGCTTTCTCAAAGCCACTAAAAACCGTATTATATCGACATAGATAAATAATAAAACAAAACATTAAAATTGAGATATATCTCGCTATATTATGCGCACCCTTCTAGTAATTACAAATAGGGTTATAATGGTCATCTTATTGTTGGTAAACACTTACCAAAAACATTTGGTAAACACTCTTACCGGAAACAACACTTTTAATAACAAAAAATCTCACGAAAACAGACTAGTCTCACAATGTTTTTTCCTGTAAATGTTCGGGTTTTTTTTACCTTTTCTCAGCGTTTTTATGTGAAGTTTAAAGTGTAGTTATCACACGGGTCTCACGAAAACAGACTGGTCTCACGTGAACCCAACTCACAAATGTCGTTGTTGCTCGGACATACACCGATGTTTTTAAAGAGAGTTGGGGTGGTTGAGATGTTGGTAAAATTTCACAAGAAATGAGCTTTTTAAGTCACAAGAAAGACATCCCCAATTAATAGAAAAGGCCCCAATCTTCCGTTCTTTTTCTATATATGTTTTCATTTCGGGTATTTACGTCTTCAAATCTTGTTCTTGATTATTTTACATTAATTTACACATTTGATACGAACATGTACAATTATTTGTCGGAAAGAGATCAGAATACAGAAGTTGCAGTTAAAATTACAAAAGATAAGAACGGTGTCGATCTTGTTACACTTCAAAACCCTAGGGGGTTTTCCGCACAGGTTATCTTTCATTACATTTCCTTTTTCGTGCACTGTACAAAACTTAAGAGTGTCTCCAACAGATTCTTTAAAACAGATAAAATGGAGATTTTTGTTCTCTATTTTATTCAAACAGATTCTGTATAGTGTATTGTAAAACAGATAAAATCTAGTGGAGTTGAAAGTAAATTTTTTTGAAAATTGTAACTTTTAATTTTCTATTTTAAATAAACTATAGAGAATATGGTGGAGATGTTCAACATAACACAAAACTGGTATGTGAATAGGCATTTAAACGTCACTCAATTATATATATATATATATAAATATATATATATATATAGGGGAGCGTTCAAATAAAAACCACACAATTTGTATAAACCGTGAAAACCACATTCAACCAATTATAATTTTTTATTTTGTTCATTTTTTTGTAATTATGAGAGGTTGATTAACCATTTTTATTGTGGAAAGTGTTAATCATGGATATTATCGTCTTCATTATTTTAATTTTAGAGAAATATATGAAACAATTTCATTAAATATTATATGAAACAATTTCATAATCATATATGAAACAAATTCATCAAAAAAAGTATTATATGAAACAATTTCACAAGATTAAACAATTTCATGAAAAAATTCCATAAGATTAAACAATGAAATGTACGTATGAGGGTGGTTTGTACGGTTTACACAAATGAGGGCGGTTTTCATTTGAAAGTTCCCATATATATATATATATATATATATATATATATATATATATATATATATATATATATTATTTTGTGGGTCTCATTTTGATTTTATATTCAGTTCAAACAAACACATAAACGAGACCCACAAAAAATATCTTAATGAATCTTGTCGGGTTACCTCAACCGACAATAAGTCATGAACCTTTATGGATTCTACTCAAAAGTCACCTCGTCCTGGGGATTTTCTTATTCTCTAGACCCCAGGATTAGTCGAGGTGCGCACAAACTGACCCGGACATCCACAGTTGACAAAAAATATATATATCTTAAATAACCTAATAGACGGACATTTTCGATGCTCATTGAGTTATTTAGGTCAGTTTGCATGGAGGTCAAGTTCTTTCTTGGAAAAACGAACGCGGCGAAGAACTGTTGTTTAGAAGTAGTAAGGTGACAACTTTTTTTCCCTTTTTTTGTCTCGATTTAAATGCTCGTTTTTTTTCCTTTCATTTAGATATAAAATATAGTATCGCTTGTAAGATCGTAAACTATCAACACTCGTTATATAAATGTTTCTCAACAATTATTTAAAATGATGTTTTAAAACATGTATTTTACTTGTCTCAACAGGCAAACTCCAAGCCACCTGCAGCTGTAAGAGGAGGAATTCCCATTTGCTTTCCACAGGTATTTTATGCTCTCTTTCCATGCACTTTTTTAATGATTTACATAAATGTTTTTCTGGTAAATGTTTATCATAAGGAGTCAACACTATAATTATTTTATCGGATAAGATTGTAGTTCATCAAAATGATATATATGCAACAATTTACCCGGTAAGCACTTACCTGGGTAAGAGTCATCACCCTCACTTATCGAGTAAGACTCTTCATCTTTATCGTTGCTCTAACCGGGTAAGATTTTTGACCCTTGTCATGTTCATCCAGTACGGAAAATTACCCAATAATACCAAATTCGGCTCACTCAAAAGCTCGATTAACTTTAAAAGTTAAGCATACACTTTTTCGAGTCAAACATATTTATATGTTTACAAATTATATCATCAAAATATAAAAATCATCGTATTTGAGTAAATAAACGAGTTAATCGTCTCGAATTCGAGCACATGAGCATCAAGCTCAAACATTGAAAAAATATTCGAGTTCGAGCTCGAGCCAAACTTTAAAGTAGTTAATTTAGCTCAAATAACCTGCTACTCGACTCGACCTGTTTACACCTCTACCCAAAAGGCGTTTCATTTGTTAATTAATTTGCGTGTATTGCGATTGCAATCGTGACTCGTGTACGTTTTGATCGTGCGTAAGTTTAAAGTTTGGAAATCGAGGTTCTCTCGAGCAACATGGATTCGCCCGAAACAAAATATGGGAAATCGACAACAATCCTCCTCCTCTACATGATAATGATTGTGACAGGAAAGCCTTTATCGACATGCTGCTTAAACCGTCTGAAGAAGATATGAAAATTTGGCCTCATAGGTGACTGTATTTTCACAATTTTTTCCAGTTTTACTGTATACGAATTTACGTAATTTACAAATTGATCTGTTCAAGATTTTTTGATTTCAGATACGAGTTTCGACTGAGGGTGTTGTTGACTTCCGATGGGGCTCTGAAGTTGATATCACGCATAAGAAACATCGGTTCCAAGGTGTTTAGCTTCTCAATTGCATATCACACGTATTTCTCGGTGTCTGATATCAGTGAAGTAAGAGTCGAAGGCTTGGAAACGCTCGACTATCTCGATAACTTGCACCACAAAGAACGTTTTACAGAGCAAGGAGACGCTCTCACTTTTGAAACGGAGGTTAAACTTCTTTCTAGTACTTTTTTCAATCGTGCTCGCAAATCTACATTTTCCGACCTAAGTCTACATTACCTGAACAAATGTAACATTCCAGACCAACCGTACCATATAATATCCGCTTTGTCTATACACTTGTTCACAGTTTTAAAACGCGTTTAATAGATGAGGTATTCAGTCTCTTATAAAACAACATTAGTTCCCGTCACCAACCGATATGGAATCTTACAACAAACTCTTCATACTGCTCTTTAGTTTAATTTTAAAACAAATTAAAAATAGAAATACAGACATTTTCTTCAGACGGAGGGAGTATACCTTTCTATCTGGATAAGCACAAAAGACTATGTGTGTGTGTGTGTATATATATATATATTATATAGAGAGAGATGAGCGATCAAATGAAAACCACTCCAATTTGTAAAAACCGTAAAAACTACTCTCATCCATCGTTAATCTTA